TAGTTATAATCTTTATTATATCTAAAATTATAGTTATTAGTATAGTTCTTATTATATTTCTAAAATTCTTTATAGAGTTTATTAAATTCTTAATAAATATAGAATTTATAGATTTCTTAGGGTCTAAATCTAGAATACTTCTTATATCAGGTAATATAGATAAGGGTTTTCCAGTTATATTACTGTTAATTAAATTATTTAAGAAATTTATTAATTATAATATTTTTATTTAAGTATATTAATTATATATAAAGATGCAGATCCAGGTAGTTCCAGATATAAATTAATTACTAAAATAAATTAGTTATATAGATAGTACAGGTATAATAAATTACTTCTTAGATAAATTAATTAATATATTTATTAACTTATATATTATTTATTTTATAGAACAGGATACTTAATTTTATTATTATTATATAAGAACTTAGTTTAAAGTACTTCTTTAATTTATTAAGCTATTTATTATTTAATAGTATACTAGTTATAAGATGCTTTTTTTATTTAGTAAGACTAGTGGTATACTATATAAAAACTATACTATATATATAAGTCTATAAGTTTAACTTAATTATAGATTCTTTATAGTACTAAATAATATTATAGATATAATTAATAAAAGTATTAATATTCTTATAGTATATTTCTTTATTAATTTATTTTATAACTTTATCTAATAATAGATTAAGATAGAAATAACTAATTTCTTTAGATTTAAGATTCTTTATATAATAGAAATTTTAATTATTTATATTAAAATTCTGAGAATCTGTATAATTATTAGAATAGTTTTTAATATAATAATTATTATTATTACTACTAGAAGGTATATTACTAGATAAAGTACTAGTATTTATTACTTAGTTTAGGCGAGTATCTATTCTATTAAAATAAGTAAAAATATTAATTAGTATAGTTTTTAATATAGTCTATTACAGCTGGTTAGGATTACTAGAAGTATTATTAGGTACTCCTGTAGTATTTATAATATTAGATATATTAATATAACGGAACTGATGTGGTCTGTATATTAAATACTTAAGATATTTAATAATATACTTAGATATTAGTATAGGAATATCTTTATAGTATTTAGAAATATTTTTAGTAATACTTTTAGGATTACTAAGTAACTTAATTTTAATATACTTAATTAGTTTAATAATATTATACTTGTGATTAGTATCAGTGTCTGTTAAAAAAATAACAGAAATATAAGAGTATTTATAAGTTATAATATCTTTGTAAAACTCAGTATACTCTATAAATTTTTAAAGATATTCTTTATAATATCTAAATAACAGCTGTTTAATATAACTATAAATAAGAAGAGGAAAATTACTAAACTCAGGGTAAGTTCCAGAGGGTAATATAATATAGAAAAAACTAGAGTAGAATATAAATACAGGATTAAGATAAGGAATAAGACTAGTAAATAATACTTAGGGTATTTAACTAGTAAATAATCCAGCTAGAATATTAAAATACTAGGTAATATAAGATATACTTAGATTAGTAATACTAATATTATACTACTCAGGAATAATAGGATTAACTAGTTCTAATATAATAAAACTTAGAATTAATATAATTAAATTACTGAATTCTTTAATTAATATAGAATAAGATATAGAAGTAGATATTACTATTTATAATATAAATATAGTAGACTATCTTAATATAATTAAAGCTCTAGAATATATATATTCTAGTAGTTATTCTAGCTTAATAAAAGATTCTAGTAATTATTAGAAACTCAGATTTAATAACTAATTAAAGTATAGCTTAGATATATAAAGATAATTAGTAAATTTAATAAAAAAGTTAAGATTTTTATATAATATAAATTTATTAATATCCTAGGAAATAAGATAAATATAATATTTTTAAGATTACAGAATAAATATAACAGTAGATAAATAATAAGCTTATTATAAAAGATTAATATTAAAATATTCTTAAAAGAACTGGAGGTTAGATATATAATAACTAATAATTTAATAAGCTAATTCTGAGAATATTTAGATAGCAGTCCGGGAATATTAAGGCTAATATTAAGAATTAGTAATATAGAATATAATTAGTAAATAAATATAGTAAATAATAAATAAATAAAAATAATATAAGATAAATATTTAATATAGTATAAGAAAAAAGAATTTATAGAAAAAGAAAGAATATAGATAATATTAAGTTCTGTAGTAATATACTAAATTAAAATTATAAATAGTATAGTAAATCAGATAATAGGATAGATAAATCAGGGTTATAGTAAGGATGACAGATTAGAGCCAAGAAGTCAGGTACTTTATAATAAGCAGAAGCAGGCACAACAAGCAGAATCAGAAAAAGCGGAAAACACGCTAACACGGAAAACCACGTGATCAGCCGGGCAGAGGAAAAAGATGTTAACATAGAGAACCCAGTACATGACAAGCAAGGAGACGAGTAAATATAGGAATCAGGGGAAAAGGAAGCAAGATTTGACCAGTATAGACCTCAATGCGATGTCTCACGCATTGGAGAACCAGGACATGCTACCAATAATCTTACATCATATTTCTCGGCTTAGCCATCAACTACTGTAATAAAATTTTTTTATTTAATATAAAAAAATCTATAATAATATAATTAATTTTTTTTATAATATATTAATAATATTTTATACTTAATACTGTATTAAAATAATAATTAGATTTAAATAATTTATTTATTTCTATATTAAACTATTTTATTAAAATTTTAAGATATTTTAAATAGAATAATATCTTTAGATTAAAAAATATTATAAATAAAAAATAGTAATTTATATAGATAATTATTATAATAAATAATAATTTTTATATTTATTTATTAATTTCTTAGCACTGTTAAATAATAAAAAATATAAAATAATATTTATATATATTTTAATAAATATTTACTAATAAAAACTATTTAAAAATAAGTATTTTATAATAAAAAAATAATAAAATCTAGAAAATTATAATATTAATAAAATAAAAAAAAGAAAAAAGTATAAAAAAACTATTATTATTATAATAGAAATAATATTATATTCTTAAAATAAAAAAGTACTGTTAAAAATATATTAACTTAATATAAATTTATATTATTATTTTTTATTATTAGTTATTATATTTATAAAAATAATTAGTTTAACTATTGAATTAATAATATTATATTATTATCTTATAACTAAGAATAACTGCTATTAAAAAAAACTAAATTATTATAATTAATTTATATAACTAAGTAATTACTATAATAGAATATCTATACCTTAATTATAAAATAGTTATAATATTAATAATTTAATAAAAATTATATCTTAAATATTTAGATTTTATTATATTTTAGGAAAGTAAGGATTAGTCTATATCTATATAATACCAGTACTTTAATTCTATACCTAGCTGACCTTTTCCCTTTACAATTCTGGACTAGAAATATATTATTGAACTATAATTATACTTAAAATATTATATATTAATATAAGTAGAAGATAAAAGAAAAAAAGTATAAATTAAAATAAATAGTAATATAATAAATTAATACAAAAATAAATATATAGTAGATATAGTTATTAACTAAATATATAATTTACATAAAAATCTTTATTAGACCCTGGAGACAGAAGGTGTATGACTTAATAAGATTAATTAATTAGTGGTTCTGAATGTTCTACTTCAGGCCTTAAATACATGAAGATTGGATACACGATACGGAAGAGGAAGGTAGAAGCCATGAGGTAGGAGCTGCCAGGCCACTGGCTAGCAGCCCTGTGGTGCCTGTCACAATCTTAAAAGAATTATTCAAAATCTAAAAACAGATATTTTAATCTAAAATTATAAAGAAAAATTGAGATAGCTAATATATAAATATACAATAAAAATAAATTATAGAAGTTAGAAGATATATATAGAAAAAAAGAGACAAATATGATTTACTTCTTAGTCAACCTAATTTAGAATATATATACAAAAATTACTCTAAAAAGTAGCTGAAAAGTGGGGCTATGGAGAAAAATTCGAATTATACAATTTAAGGCAAATCTAACTGAGTTATCAACTTTTTCCTAAAAAATGAATAAAAGTGAATATTCATATATAACAGTTAGATACAGATATCTTATTATAGTAATAGCTGGGTTGTGTAAGATGTCTATAATGTTTTATAAAATCCTCTACTATCTTATATATAGAGGAATTTTTTACTTTTCCACAAAATCCTAACTGTTAGAGTAAACTTATTTATTTATTTTATTTGAATTTTTTTGTAATACAGCTATTTTTAGTAGTTTAATCAATAATTAGTTAGTTCTAAGTTATTAAGAATAACTGTTTTAGTGGGTAGGTATGCCCCCTGCTTACACATGTCATTTACTTATTATAATATAATCTACAAGCAGGCTGGCCACCCAAGTAGACTAGCTATCTATATTATCTATATAATAAAGCTATATTTTATATATTATTATCTTAATAAATTATACTTCTTATTTTATATATTTATATATATAGTTTTTAATACTTATATCTAAGCTCTAATATTAAGAAATCTTTTATATAAACTATAGATTATTAGGTAATATAAAATATATTATAATCTTCTATACTTTTGGTATTAATATAATAATAGCTTTAATTTATCTTCTTAAGCTTATAGAAGTAGATTTATATAAAATATAGATATTTATCTCAAATATATTAAGATCTTAGATAACTAGGTAGCTTTATTGTTGAACTATTAAGAGTTAAAAAGTAGCTATTTTATATGGAATACAGAGATGGCCAGCCCGCTTGGGTGGCCAGCCCGCTTGTGGATTACGTTATTTGCACCTGCTTACTAACTTAATCACCTTTGGTGTCTATACCTACCTGTAGAGCACGTGCTAGCTCATTTCCCGGTATCCCAAGCTTTCTTATTGCCCCAGCTCTGCTTCAAGCAGCCATCACTTCTTTCATCACACATCAAATCAACTTAGCCACGCACATAGCATGTCTCGTCCTGGCACCACACTCTATGTCACCGGCTTCGGGCACGGGACTCGAGCTCGCGATCTTGCCTACGAATTCGAACGGTACGTGCCGCTCGTCGAGTGCCTTCGCCCTACCATGGCCAACCATTCGTCCTAATCGCAACAACTCTCGATTGAGTCTCGCAATATCGCTGTCGAATCTGCCTGCCTTTTCGTCGTTCAGAGATAAACTGCCTTTTTATATTAGCTTTCTGCGAGCGCTCTGAATGGAATCTCACACCAGACTCTATACCCTTATGCACTCTCATCGAATCCCCAAGCCGATCATCATTGATAGTGACCATTTGAGCCTCAGACATTTCTGACATGATTCCAGATATGGACGTCTGGTTCGCTGCGATATTCCGGCACCGCGCACTCCATCAAGCAGATTGTATGTTATAATCGCAACAAAATACTCCATTCGCATGCTTACTGTGTTAGGTTCGCTTTTGTGGAATACGAGAGCCGCCGTGATGCGGATGATGCCTATCACGAAATGCACAACAAGAGGATTGGTCGTGATGACCTACTGAAGATAGAGGTTGGTCTACCCGTTGTTGTTACCGCCAAGTCCAGCATCCGGCTCACAATTTACAGTGGGCGCGGACTCCTCCTTCAGCTTCCTGGCGCTTTGATTCTGGTCGTGACCGTCGCCGTGACCGTACTCCTCCCCGGCGTGGGCGCTCTCCTTCTCCTCGACGCAGTCGTGGTGATTACTCCCCGCGTAGAGATGAAAGGTATGATCGGGACTATGACCGCCACGATCGTGACTATGATCGTCGGGACCGCGATTATGATCGTCGCGACCGCGACTATGACAGGCGTGATCGTGATCGTGAACGTTCTCGCGATCGCTCTCGCAGCCCTGATGAAAGAGACCGTGATGTCAAAGAAGATCGGGAACGTCGTGATGATGAGCGCGAGCGACGTGATGATGAGCGCGAGAACGGGCCCAATGGCGAAGAGAGAAAAGGTTAGTCTCACAACCTCTTAGGTAAGAAATTGACTGACTCTCGTGAAGTTGCTCCCTTAGACACCTTGGGTCCAGCTCATGATGAGCTTGACACCGCCGAGTAGTTTTGTCCTGTTTGGTCCCTCGAGATACGAAGTCGCATATCAGGTATTCAGTCGAAGCCTTCCGTGAGTCCTGGTATGTGTCTCATTTAAAAGAAAATGCGTTCGTTTTTATCGAGGATATATCGCCGGTACTTGACTTCGACATATCTTTTACTCACCCCCAATCACTCAAGAGTGCTGCTTGACCTCCTGAGCCCGTTTCAACTTTCTCGTGCCCTCTTGTTTCAGCTGTTATCCTTGGTTCAATTGTTCATTCACCCCAGCTCTTGAGCTTCCTATCCCCTGACCTGTCCCTCGTTGTTTCATCCAACGATGTCCCCAGCGCGAGCAAAAGCAAGGATTGAAGGAAGCTAAGATCCAGAAAGGCAAGGAAGCCAGCCTTTCATTTGGGAGAGGGACGACGTGTCCTAGATGGTTTGTCAATTTGTTATTGGTATTTATCGTGGTCAGCAGCTCGAAACATTGCCGAACGAACGTCGAGCGAGCCCCTTTCCTATCTTGATTTAACGCCGGTTTCTGTCGTCCTTGCCTTCATCGCGATAATTGGCGGCCCGTTATTCGTCTCCCAGTCGCAAATTAATATTACCCGATATACCATGCCTCCCTCGTCCAACTCGTCCGGTCGGTTTTCCTGATCAACCTCTTTGCGAGAAACGGTCGTTAGTAGCTGTAGCCTGTATTCGCCACACTCGGACCTGATATGCAGCAAAGATAATGAAGTACTGGTAAGGATATCTAAGACGGCTCAAGCAAGAGAAACTTCTATTTAGCAACACCAAGTGGGATGGTGCCAACTGTAGTACTGTACATACATATATCCTGTAATAATTGGATTCTTTTGCACTTTAGCTGAGTTTCAGTCCACCGTACAAGATAAGATAAATATGAGCCATTTTGTACAACGACATCTTGCAATCGTTCTATTTTTTCCCTTTACTTTCTCTTCCTTTTTCTGAATCAAGCACGTCGCAATCTTCGATTAAAACTGCATCACTTGGTGGGATCAATCGATGGAGGCCGGGCCACCATAGCAGTATTCTCACCACATCAGTAGTCGGAGGCAGAAGCTGAACAAGAGGATCTACAGTGGTCTATACACAATTTAAGGAATTCCCAACATGCCACCTGATTTACACCCAAACCCATGTTACGAGACCTTAATAGCACGGTAAGATCAAAGTCAGAAAGAATTTCGAATTTTCAATGCAATGTGTGATAAAGGCATAGAGCAAGTCCTTGATCCGCGGACTGGAAAGGAGACTATTGCATTTTCTCGTATGTAGCCATGAGCGAACCTGCATCATACAGTCAATTCAGAGATACGCAATATCAAGCCGATGAACTTAGACTTACCTATGAAAGTGGTCACCAAGCGAGAGCGAACTTGGCAAATATCCTCGGGTACTAGCCAAATCGTCGCTCCAAGCTTCCGTGCTATGCTGATACTTAGCTTGGCATTTGCATAGGCCTCCTCGTCGTTCCGGCCCGGCGTCACGAGATCATAATCCACGTAGCTGCTCTTCATCCCATTGAGCACATCAAGGAGGAAGAGGCCCGAGCCAATAGAAGGATCCTTGAAATTTCGAATTGTTGTGGTTCTCCCTCCTCTTCGCGACATGTCATTTGCCCATTTGATCATTTCCGCATCCGTCATTTCCCGCTTGCCCATGCGTTGCGCTAGACTAGAGAGGGTAATCGTTATATCTTTCCGCATCAATTGCCAGACTAATCCCAAGGTGAGAGTCCGTTGGCCATCAGTAATGTCAGCTCCCTGTACACCTACAAGGGAAAAGCCAATGTGTTTCCCGAGCTCGATTGCATAGTTGGTGTTCTCCACTGCCTTGAAACGCATCATTTCTCCGCCGGAAACCGGGGGCTTGTTCACGTGCTTCCAGTTAACACTGCCAGAAATTACCTTATCATACGCTTGGAGCAAGATAGTTCCATCCCGGAGATCGTCGAACAGCGAATTGACTGCTGGCTGTACATCAAGAGAATTCAACCAAAGGGTGAAAACTCTGGCTTCTCGTTCGCCTTCAGCATCAAAGTCTTCAACTTCCAGTTTCTCTTCTTCAGTGATCGGATCAAGACCAGGAATTGTGTTAAACAAGTTTGCCACGAATGCGAGGTTAAGCTTCGGGTTCCCCGCAACCAAGGAAGAAGGGGTCAAGAATTTTCGACAGTCCAGCTTATCCGCATTTGCCAAAACCTGTTCAGCGCGCTGGACCAGGTCTCCGACATGAAGCGGATCTCTTGAGCAAGTCTCGGGTGCCAGCTGATTGAGAAGTATGGTGTAATTCTCTCCATCTTTCACATCGGTTGAGAAATTCGTGACTCTGTCACAAGTCAGCAAAGGTGCTTGATGATTTATCTGTCGACTCTAGCGCACAGTCCTAGTCCACCCCAGCCAGTGGATAAAGGGTTGGACAGTGGGATTTTCAAAGTAAGGAAGTGTCATACCTTCTATCCCACTTTGCATTCTTCAAGTGGTAATTGAACCAACGTAGCAGAATTTGCTCTGGGGGGAGTCGTAGAAATTGCTCTAATGTCTCATCTTCTTCAAGCAGCCTGTAAAGCTCGGGATGGAGTTTTATGTCAATCTTTCCCAGCAGACCTCGGCGTATGATCTGCCAGATGAGGCCTAGAATGAGGTGCTCACGGACTTCTATAATATCCCCACTTCCTATGTTGACGACAGAGCACCCGATTCCCTTGGCCGAATTAATCACAATGTTGTTATTCTCGGTCATATGGAAAGCGTTCAATTCCTTGGTCCTCTTTCCCGGTTTGTTGAGGACACGCTCGTCAATTGTGTCAGGAACGCTGTCGTTTATGAGCTTTGCTAGCACTAGACCGTCTTTGCATTGATCAAACATCTCAAAGGTGTCGGTAGGAAAAGGTAGAGAGTGGCCGATATCTGGATCACCTGCAAGGACGGCGTTGATATGCCTGGTAAACTCGGTCCTCTCATCTTCGTTTATAGTATGCGTCACGTTGGCGGAAGAGCCTTGTACATGGATTTTCCCACCAATACTGCCCTTAGAGGCATGGCGGGACTGGCCGGCCAGGTTGGCAGGGAGTACTGCAGCGGAACCCTGGCCACCAGTTTGAATCTGTGCCGGAGCAAAGCGAACTTTGGAGATAAGCTGCTCAAATATGTTAGCAGTATCAGTGAAAGTGGCATGTTAGATACAGACATCGACGTAGTCCTCGAGTTCGACGCGGCGGGAACTGTCCAGATCGACCTCTTTCAAAGCCTGACGTACAACATCATAAGGCTTTCGTTCTGATTGTTGCGTGGCCTTGATTGCAGTGGCCTCGTCTAGATAGCCCTTGTCATCCACATCCAGCTTTCGAAACGCATCTTGAAGGGAGAATATGTCTGACTGTTCAAACTGCGGGAACTTCCTGAACCATAGTTAGTTCCCCGCGGCCGAATTTGGTGGTGAGAATCCGAACCTCTGTAATTTGAGCACGTTCATTTTCTCTCTGGGTCGTGACTTGGCCTCTAGAGATTTGACGAAATAAACTGTAAGGGTGACCAGAGCAAGCTGTGGGGAAACAATACTTTTACTTGATGGTGAGCAGGTGACTATTTGTAATCCTTCCCTCTCTCGTTATTTGGGGGAAGGAGGGGGAGCAGCTCTTATGGTAGGAGAGTGTTCTTGAGGGGACGGGGGGCGGGCTGGCGGGCTTGCCGTCTATTCCTCGAGGTAGACTAGCAGGCAACCTAATGACGAGAACAGCAAGGTGGGGTTAGGGGGGATGATGACTGGCATCGCTCACCAATCGCTCACCATCCGGAAATTAAGAATATCTAGGATCAGCCACCCATTGAGAACCCTTAGTGAACGGTTGTGGTCTATTGTTATTGTACCCAATATCTCATTAACATCAAAAGTCTTTACGGTTCCTGGAAAGAGACTATTTGATACAATATATTGACTGTTGAGCCAAGTCCATGACGTAGATTATCTGGGCGGCTGCTGCCGCCTGCTGCCTGATGATGTAGCTCTACGTGACCCGACCCGACCCATTTCTAAGCGCCGTGACGGACTAGCCAATTGAACCGTATCATTGTGCGCGACTTGATACTCTCCTGCTCAACATTCTTTAAATATTAAGTGCACTAACGTGAAATAAAGTATTTATCCACAACCCCTCAACGGCCAAAAAGGTCGAAACACACGGATGCATTGTCTCATAATCAGTTCTAAGTACCCGCTGCAATTCAACAAAGGGCCACTCCCATACATTCTCACAGCTTGTCCATTAGGTATAGCTTTCGATTAGGTTCATTTGACGTAGGCGCATTGGCTCTTGCCACGAAGCCTCGGGCTCTTCTGAGCCTCATGCCAAAAGAAAGCCCACGAGGTGCTTTTCTGGGGGCAACCTCGCCCTGGAGCACCTCCAGAAGTTCGTCTTGCCTATCTAACCCCAGCAACGATAACAATACTCAGAGTGTCTTGAAGCAAACCCAAGGACAGGACCATGCTGTAACGCATAGATACAGACTCAGCTTACACCGCTATCCCGAAGACTGCCCTCCTTTGAGTGTTAAGTGGTTCTATGCAGTGGATACCCCAAAAAGAAAGCCCGGGCTATCTGATCGGGACAAAGACAATCTCAAACTGCCATCTCCCAAAAAGTTCGTGCAATTTTCTACCAAAGACTCTCAAGCAATCGAGACAGCTTTCCAACGAATATCGGATAACGAATTTAAAAATGAGCACTTTCGCCATGAGCAAGCAGACCTTGGTCAGCCACGCGCATCCACAAAGGTTCCTGTCAACGAAGACTTCTTGTTTGAAGTCAACGTGGAGCAGAGGGAACTTGCGCCAACATATTGGGCAGGTCCCATTTATGAAGTGCGCCGTGGGACATGGTTTTTCCAGGAGGGATCTTCTATGAAGCCATGTGAAGAGAACTTAGCAACCCAGCTTGAGGAAGGTTACTTGAAGGTGAAGCCCTGGCGTGGCTTGAATTCTGAAAACTCTATACCAGCTTGGAGCACGACATCACAGAATCACAACCCGGGTGAGTACATCACACAAATCAATATACTGGGTAGTGGCTCATGTTATGCGGTAGATTCTGGTTCTCATAGTCCCGCCGGAAGCACAAGGCATGCGAAGCCAAGCAATGAACCGAGGCATCATCGACTGTTCGGCGCTTATATGAGCAATATAGTCACGTATCAAGATGCTTCCACAGCACTGCTGACAAGCGATGATTTCATGTCCCGGGTCAGCACGACTGTGTACCAAAAGCTGGGTGCCGTCGCAGGCACGAAACTCGTACGTGGCTTCAGTGAAGCAAAGAAGCCTAGAGAATCACCAAGAAATTGGATTTCACAAAAGAGCCCAGAGAATGGATCCGAACTGCGCACTGCTTCGAAGGGGGACCTCGAAGTAGATTCTGAGTTGCTGGATTCAACTGTTTTGAGCCGACCGGTGAACACCGAAAGCCTAGCCGATACAACAAGGAGGCCTACAATTGAAGAGCAGATTATTGGGGCAGCTGATCGCTCAGGCATGGCTGAGCTTGAAGAGCAAGTGCGCAAGCAAGAACAGAAGGAAATGGAGGCGTCGAGAGAATCCGATGAAGATAGAGATCGAGAAATTGATCATCTGGTTCTAGTCACTCATGGGATCGGCCAACGACTTGGATTGAGGTTAGAAAGTGTCAATTTCATACACGACGTCAATGTTCTACGCAAAACTATGAAGAGTGTCTATCGAGCGTCGCCCGATCTTCAAGCCTTGAACTCACAATTCGCTGATCAACATGACAATTGCCGCATCCAGGTCTTACCTGTGTGAGTCGCCTACTTCTCCCTTAACACCTCGAACACTATCCTTCATATCTCAACATGGATGGCTCACAAAATTACGCGTGCTAATAACTTCACCATGTGCCATTGAGTAAACGTCTTAGATGTTGGAGACATATGCTCGATTTTCCCTATCAACGACTAAAACATAGTCGTAAGGAACTTGACTTAGCCGACGCTGAAACTCCCGAAGACGAAGTACCAGCATACCCTACCTTGTCTGATATCACGCTCGACAATGTGCCTGCTGTCCGGAGTCTCATATCTGATCTGGCCATGGATGTCCTGCTCTATCAGAGCGCGTATTGTGAACAGATTTCTGAAATAGTGAAAGGGGAATGTAACAGGATCTTGCGGCTCTTCAAGGAGAGGAACCCTTCCTTCAAAGGCTCAGTAAGTCTCTGTGGCCATTCTCTCGGCAGTGCAATTCTCTTTGATATACTTTGTCATGAACCTCATGATGGTGATCGTCCACCCGCCTCGATTAATGACAGCAGAACGGGCTCCCGTCGAGCCACTTCGTTGGACTTCAACTGCCAGGACTTTTTCTGTCTTGGCTCCCCAGTTGCATTGTTTCAGATGCTCAAAGGAAAGACTATAGCTGGGCGACATGCTCAAATATCTACCCTGCAAGATGAAAGCCCCATTGAAAAGCCGTCGCATCACGCTCCCAATACGAGATCTTTTGCTCGCTGTCAAACGAGCACTGCGCTTGCTCACAGCGGGTTGTCTGTTTCCTCACCTAAATGTGGGCAGCTATACAATATCTTTCACCCTTCTGACCCTGTGAGTTATCGTTTAGAGCCTCTCATATCACCGGCGCTGTCATCGCTTAAGCCACAGCCTTTGCCATCGGTGAAGAGAAGTCTATGGGCTACATCTGGCCAGAGTCTCTCCATGATTGGTAGTCGTGTCGGTCAGAGTGTGGGCTCTCTCTGGACGAATTTTACGTCGGGTGTCGCCAGCAGTCTGCTCAATCGCAGTCTAGGTTTGATTCCAGAGGATGTCTCTACCCATCCACCCTCCAATCTCACTGCTGAAGATGCCCAATCCCGATCTTCCGTTGCGGGTACCCCTCACTTGGGTGAAGATGAAACACGACGACCTACTCTCCTCGACTCTGGCCTGGAAACGCTCTACGGGAATTCCCGTGGGGTGAAAACCGCGGAAGGGCAGACTCCTCGAACATCAGACCATGTTATTGGAGATTGTGAGGCAGACAGTGGTTCGAGAAGAATGTTACTGGAGGATGCAAAGGTGAGGGCTCTGAATGCCAATGGACGAGTCGACTATAGCATACAGGAGTAAGTTCAGGCACCCCTCAGGTGGTCTCCGAGCTTTTAATGAAGACCAGTCGCTTACTGTGTAGGGGTGCATTCGACATATCTATGATTGCGAGTATTGCCAGCCACCTGAGCTATTGGGCGGATGAAGATGTGAGCCATTTTATGCTTTCTCAGATGCTGTGCAGGAGAGAGCAGTCAAGGAGAAAACAGTCATGAGAAACTCTAGGTCGGCCATGACCTACATTATCGACGGCGAACCCTATAGCGTGTGCGCAATTGTAATATTTGGCCATCTTTGACCAAGAAACGGGATAGCAGTACGGGGTTACGCGTGTTCCCTAATCTACTGAATCGATTTCTTATTGGATTCATATAGAGCTGGCCTGTCCGATTTCGAAATCCTATGAGCCTACATGAACATAACGATTCGCAGCGGATTGCCATGCTGAATGATCGTTCCTGTACTGTATGCCATGATCGTGACGACAGTATAGTCACAAATGCAACCGCTCGGATCTAGATGAATTTGGTTATAACACCATCTAAATTCACTACGGGTAGCACTTTACACCTCAAGATATATGCTTGAATATGATGTATGATCGGACCTGAATAAGCCAGCAATGTCGATTGCCTATAACAAGCCTGTATTGGGGTCAATAGCCATCGTCCCGAGCAGGAATCAGGGCAACAAATATTTGCTCTATATTGCTGAATTTACTAACGAGCCTAGCGCCGCATCCCCGGCATAGTAAGTGTACCTCTGAGCGCCACAGCAATACAGCAAATGAATCATATTTGGAGTATCATCTCTTTCCGGGTTAAAGCCTCATCCGTGTGGAACCCAAAGACCAAGCGGTAAAGGTCCGGCAGCCATGGATATTGCCCATCATGTGCGACAAGCCGAACGGCCTGCGCTACATCAATGGCACTTGCGCGTGCGTGAGAACTGGCACCTTTGAAAATGGGGTCAAACGCTACCAACCGCTTATAATTCTTCAGAAGTGAGATCTGCCAAGGTGTGGACCCAAATGCATCGGAGGAAAGTGATTTGACGAATGATGAGAAACTCTGCGACCCAGAACGCTGATACCCGCTATTTATCGCAGCCTTCGTAACCAATATTTTTATGATCACCAAGTTCAATTCCCCTGAAAGAGTAGTTATTGTTTTGGTGGACGAGCTTTGCTCCGATGATTGTGATTGTCCAGAGGTAGCCGATGAGTTGGATGACCAAGCAGTGTGCGGTGCTTGAATGGAGCTTTGGCCCAAGACAAAGATGTTCTGAAGAGGTGCTTCATCTGGTGATATCGTTGCAGTATCATCGAAAACAGTGGTTGGAGTCTCGGGGTTTCTCGACTGCCCCAGGATGTCGTCACAGCCGTTCGATTGAGAATCATTGACGTGTTCGATGACCTGCTGAAAATTTGCTTGACTTGGCCGTGGCGTTCCACGGTCAGAATCCCGATCAATTCGCTGCGCCCACCCTCTCCTGAAGACATCGCAAAGCTCCCAACAAGCTTGGACTGCTGACCCTAGGACTTCTTCGTCGGGCCTCTTGCTCCCCATTTTACTTTGACGTATAGTGAAAAGCATCTCAGCGAATGACCAGCAGGCAGAGAGCGGAGAATCGATCTCAGATACCAGGCCTTTCTGCTTCATCAAGCGATGACACAAAGTTATATAAAATTCCAGAGTCCTCTCTCTGAAAGCCTCCGGTAAGTTCCGATCATGTGTGTTATAGAGATGGTTACTGAGCTCAAAACTGACGCGGAGAATTGAATCTGTCACTTCGTCTCCTTTGACACGAGCTTCAAATAGGGATTGACAGAAGCCATGGCAAACATCGAGGATGGTGTTCACTTTCGATGTTGGAAATCCGCTCTGGCTGACATATAGTTCCTGACATAGACGCCAGCATAAAGTCCAAGCCTCATCTTGGGTGCTGGCATGAGATTTTTGAAATTTACTGTGTAAACAGCTGAGAGTGGCCAATGAATTGCACAGAGCCCAGCACTCTGCTAGGGCTGTCGTTAGAGCGTCATTCTCTGCTCCCTCGTCAGACAGGTTTGCCTTTGATAACCTTTTTGAGCCAGCATCTGAAAGAGTTGACTTGCCCTCGACACTGGACATTGATAACCAGGGCGTTCCTCCTCGAGCAACATCATCGGCCCTAATATCAACAGTTCTGGAGCATAACTCCATGCGGGGATCTTCGAATTCCTGCCGTGTCTGCGCTCGAGGGGTCGCTCTTTCAGACCAATCACTCGCTGGCTCGATTGAGGTACTCAATGGAGGAGGTGATACAGGGCTATCAGCCTCGGCCTAGCACTTGTCAGTCAGTCTGCTTCTTGGGTTGAAGATTGAGCAGTACCATTGGCGTTATCGCTTCATTTGATGTGTATGTTTTCATAGCACCCGATGGTACAAAAGTGTCAATACAAGGTACTTGTCCATTCGCCTTCTCCGCATTAGTTTTTACCAAGTGAGTTGGTTGAAGATACTGATGGAGTTGCTGACTTGCATGTCAACCACTTACAAAGTCACCAAAACCTGCAGGAGCATGAATCACTGATTGTGGTGGCTCATCTTCATCTGATCTTGCCTCGAATCTTTTGGTGTGTGCATTCGCAGTCTGTATCTGCCAACAAGTTCAGTATGAAGTATAGTTTGACTAGCCATCGTTCATACTTTGAGTTCTGCCTGGGACAGTCCGGCAAATGGTGTTGATGGGGCAGCCGTCATGAAATTACATTTAGACTCTGAATCGCGCTCGAGAGAATTATCATGCGTGTCACCTACATCGTCTTCTGAAGTGGGGAAAGATGATACGGGATTATGCACCAAATCCGCAGCTGTTGCCAGTGTGTGGTTCTTGTCAGGCCTATGTGATTTAGCATCATGAACCGAGTCAACGCTGCACCTTACCCCTCTTACATGGCGCGTTTAGGGATGATGATGGGAGCTGCTGTATTGAGGAGCTCCAAATATTGGAAAAAGCGATTTCGATGTTGTAATCTGGAACCTTCGCTGACTCTTATTGTAGCGTGAATAGAACAATGTTCGGACGAGCAGATAAGTATGAACACGCCAGATGGGGTGTCTCATCGCACATCATGTGCTTTGCCGCCGTGAGATGCTCCGCGCCTACTAGTAGCACTAAAATGCTACTTTACTAGCAGTACAGTAGTCTCCTGGTTTGTAACATATAGACTCTGACAAATATTGTCGACATGAAGCGATACAGTGATTTACTTATCAGTATAAGGTCAACACTGTGCCCTGTCTGTATAGACTGAGTGACAAAGACATTTACTTGTCCCGCATCCAGATTCGCTCTTGGGTCCTCGGTAGTATGGATGCAGTGCTTCCAATTTGAGTATGTATCAAAGTGGTATGAAGTTGGTATCGAAATGGTTCATACTGACTAGATTAATGCATAAACGTCTCTTATGACTGTGACGAGTGCTCCGTAACTAGGTACTGTACCTTACGCAAGCCAGTACTAAGCCTCAGCAACTACAACCCATCATGCTGAAGGGATCACGATTAATTGAAACCATCTACAATCCTGAAATGATAACTTAGCAAATCATCCCAGATGCTTCTGTCGAACAGAATCCATAGAGCCTAAACATACAGCGTGCACGGCCAGAAAAATCATAGATTGATGTTAATCCTCAAGTCGCTTGACACCACTAGCCGTCACGTGCTATGTATAGTCAGATAAATTGTCTACTTGGCCTGAATTTGGCATTCGATGCCCACACAAACCACCTAGTGCCAAGGCGGCGCTAACAATACCACAAGCTGAATGTTTTATGCGCCTAGGTGTTGATTATATAATATGGTTGAAGGTGCTCGTCGCTACTACATAGGTTTGAGGTCATTCGAAAACAGGGCAATGGTATGAGATTTGAAACACAGATAAGACCGCCGACAAACAAGGGGGTTTTGTGACAAAGGCGAAAAACACACGCGCGCACACACACTACACATCCAGAGAGAGAGAGAGAGAGAGAGAGAGAGAGAAGCCGCTGGAAAATCACTGGGAGAAAAAAAGAAAGCCGCAGGAAAGAAACCCGGAAATTTTGAGCCCAACCGAAACAGAACCAAGACATCCCTTGTGCAAGCCCTTTGGTAGTTGGTGACTAACGAGCAGCTAGCCCGCATTTTCAAAGAGATTATGTGTATGTTGTCTGGGGACAATTGAGGCAATAGGTAGTTCGCAGAGTCGTTGCATGGAATCGAAACCAAATCATACTTGAGATTTCGCCCGATCTCTCTCGGTGGGGTTATAACTGGCGAAATGTCAGTTCTTGATCGAATGCATCTCTCGATCATCCGCTCTTACCGAAGAAGTTTTTCTATCAGATCCACATGGGTCATAATCATCCGCCGGCAACAATATCTTCTACAGCCAAGCTGGTCCATAGCATCACTTTGGCATGGCATCAGAAGTCGTATTCATATTGCAAGGAGTTAAGGGAGAAAGCGACTGACCCGTCTGGGATTCCTTCATCGAGAAGCTGCAAGTAGCGTTCCCACAAATCCCCAACGACCTGTTATCCACGTTGATTAGAGCCTGTTCACAACATCGGAATGAATACACTGCTGCATACCTTGCCACAAGAAAAGCACCTAACCGGAATAATCATTTGGTCAAGAAACGCCTTGGGAGTGAGAAGAGGTGTTGTGAATGAGGTAGAATTGGGACAGAAATTTCTTCTTAATCAGAGAAAAGTATGGAAGTAGTACATATATAGGCGAAACGCTGTTGTACTGTGCAGAAGTGGCTGAGTTCGTAAGTTTCTGTATCCCTCAGTTCTCTGAAAGTGAGGAATGATCGTCTCACATTAATGACTGCTGGAGAATCTATGATTGGCCGCGTAAGGCCCCATTTATTTCCTTTTCGAAGGTCTGCGCTTGGCCGAAAGCCCACTAGTCTTCAAAAAGCGTGTTAACCAAGGAAGCGCTAATACATAACAGGGATAGGCCAGACCTGCCCACCAACCAGCCAGACTGCCAGTGTACCCCAGTGCCCAGTGTGCAGTGCCCGCTTGTCCGGGTTGGGCAGAAGACAAAAAAAAAAAAGGCAAAGCAGGTGGCCATCATTGAAGCCCGCCTGTCTTCCCACTCTTACCGGCTGCGCAACGTCAATTATGCCAGTCTGTCTCACTCAAGGAGTCCCTCATTCACAGCAAAAGTCAAATCAGACGGCTTCTTTCGGTTTTCTCATCCTCGTTGCCTAGAGTAGCGATGTCGGATTCGGAACATGGACGACTTCCCAAAAGGTCGCGCGCAAGCGAGGTGGCCCGAGGGCAGATGACTTCAAGCGATGGTGTCCGTATCAAACGCCGCCGTACATCTACAATTGACGATGAAGCGAGCGCGACCTTGAGGTCCAATATGGCGGAGTCACCGAGGACAGCATTGTGCGCCGGTACTCCTGCGGAGGATATTCCTGAGGCTTGCGAAGGCGAACAGACGAATACCTCATTTACTAATTGGTTCCTGTCTGATGTCGTTGCTGGAAAATTCGGTCATGCAAGTCCTCTATTCACTTCAGATGATGAGTGAGTCATAATTCGCTTGCTTTTCGGAACTGTTTTCTCACCAGGTTCGCTATAGGTACCTTTTCCTAGGTCTCGAAACATCGGTCCAGATCTATTCTGTCACAACTTCGCGTCTTTTTCGCACCCTGAAGTTGAAGCCCTGCGACAATGTCATTGGCTACAAGCTCTCTCCATCAAACTCGGATCATCTTTACGTGTTCAGCTCGACTGGCTCTGTGAGCAAATGGGAATGGTTTTCCGGTCAACAACTTCCGTACCAGGCTGCGTGCCGGCCAACGATCTGCGTCGACGTTTGCTCAGACATTTCTGAAAGCGACGCTCTATTTTTCATCCACGACTGCGAAGATTCGAAGAAGGAGATTGCCCTTCGGCGCTCAAACGATGAAGACCCTCGCCCTACTTCCCTGCTCACCACCAATGCCCAGCTCACCCATCTCAGAGTTGCATATCAGGGTAGAATCTTGGTTGCCTTCGGAGGCCAGAATGTTCTTCTCGGGTCTCTTGTACCCAGTCAAGACTCGAAAACCGTCCAGTATACCTGGAGCGAGTTGACTTTGCCGACCAGTATCACATCGGCCGATATTCGACATCGCGCAGCCTCGCAACGAGCAGGCACCTCGGGGGTCAAAGAACGGGCAGCCTTGGGGAACCTTGACCTTGTGCTGGGGGAATCCGGCGGTTCGATCATGATCTACAATGACATCTTGAATTCTTTACAGAACGAGATTGGCAGCGGCAAAGGTCTTACACCCAGACGGCTGCACTGGCATAGGAGCTGTGTCAATGTGGTGCGTTGGTCAAAGGATGGTAAGTCAGAATATTCAGATAATCAGCGCTCAGGCATGAGAGGACTAACACACCTCTTGTAGGGAACTATGTCATTTCTGGTGGTAATGAATCAGTAATGGTTCTGTGGCAATTGGACACAAGCCGAAAGCAATTCCTACCCCATCTCTCGTCACCAATTTGCAACATTGCTCTTTCCATGAGTGGGAGCCTTTACGCTGTCAAATTAGCAGATAATTCTACCGTTGTGCTGTCAGCTCGAGACTTACAACCATTAACTACTATAACGGGCCTACAACTGTGCTCAATTCCGACCAAACCCCATAGTCAGGTCTCGACCAAGAAGCTTGTGTTAGCTGGCGCTATAGCTGCTGCGCTACATCCGAAGCACCCTGATCAACTCCTCTTGACTGTTCCAGCCTCTTGTCAAGTTACTCAGGAGGGTTATACTCTGGCGAACGCTTGTACACTTCAGACCTACGACATACGCACGAATAGCCATATCTCACGACAAGCTCTCGCGCGTACTAATACAACGACTTTGAGAACCAGCCCAGATGGCTCATACATCGTTGCGCCAGACGTGAGTCACTTGCGTATCACTCGAGACGGAAAGTGGATGGCAACTATCGATAGTTGGAGCCCTTACGCAAGAGATGTGCAGGCCCTTCATCCCGGTGAAGCTCATGATGGTCGCATTTTCACCGACAATCAAGAAACATATCTCAAATTCTGGAGATGGAATAGTCTATCCACAATGTGGGAATTGGTGACTAGAATCGATGCTCCCCATTTTTCCAGCAAGGGTGCTGCGCGTGTTCTGAACCTTGCAGTCCGAACTCTTGCCCACGAATTTGCAACCATCGGTGCTGATGGAGTGCTGCGCTTTTGGTGCCCAAGCGTCAGACAACGTAGTGGCCTGAAGGCCGCAGATACCGAACAGCTGTTGGAAACTTGGAAATGTCGAAGTGCCATTGATTTAAAGAGCTACATCGATGTGGATCAGTCTACAAGAGTGGGTGCAGCCTACATGGATTATTCGCAGGATGGATCGGTGCTCGCTATTTGCTTGAAATCGACATCGTCTCTAAATCCCGGGCTTACACTATTAATCGATGCCCAGAGCTGTTGCATCCGCTATAGTAGGGTTGGGTTACACGCAGGAGATTTTTGTGGGGCGGCATTTCTAGGTCCTCAGCTCCTTATTACTTCAGCACGGTCTGTGTTCATTTGGGATATTGTGAATGATTTCGTGAGAAACCTTGGCTTATCTGATGCTGCTGAAAATACTCAGCCATATCCATCACGCCTGCTTGCGGTCAGTGTGGAAACTAAAACATTTGCCATTGCCACACAAGTTCATCAGCACAAGAACACTGCGTCAAAGAAACGCCGAAGAGCCCAACCTCACATACAAGTCTATGACATCGAAACTCTAAATCTACTTTCTGAAAATATGCTTGACAGCTCGCCTGTTGCTCTACTTTCTGATAGACACTCCGCTGATTATGTCGTTGTCGATGCTACAGCCAAGGTGCAGAGGTTCAGCTGTTTGGGTTCAGCAATTCAAGCAACACATACAAACTCACCTCATATTCAGCTTGAGACTTCGGGACTAGCAGGTCTATTTGGACAGCAAGGCCATGGCGGTCTCGGCAATATGCAGCAGTCAGCTACAGCGCCTAACAGTCTGGGAATTTCTTCGCAGACACAGCTGGCTAGTGTTTTTGGCGACATCCCACCATTTGTCTTGCCTTCAGCCAACCTCCTCTTCCGTGATGTGGTACAGGCACTCTCTGCATGAGAATGTACCTAAGAATGTATACACTTAGTGAAAGATTTATTTTCCCGCCACAGATCGTATCATATCAAGTCTATATGTGCTATCACCGCATAACTATATATGGCTCATTATTCTACCTGTCCAGGGAGGGTTTCAAATTGAGTATCTCTGAGCAAATTGCGCACGAGACGACAACTCAGAAGAATTTCCAAACAGTGTATTGAATCACTGACAAGAAACAAACAAATAGACAAATGCTATATGTATATACTTTCAGTTCTTATGTAGATTCAGGTTAGGCCTTTATCCATGTTTCAGTTCCTAGTAGGATCAATTTCGTCGTACCAGGGATATAAAATTGTTCCCAAGGACCAATTAGGCCTTGCAGGAGCAGAACATTTGTGTTTAGGTGCCGAGCTCACACAAAAACTCTTGACAATCATACCCAAAACGACAGTTAGCGAAGACACAGTTAGCGAAGACGGATGAACAGAGCAAGCAGAGTCTCCTATCAGGCTATCCTCCGGATTTTCCTCCGCAGCTTAAAAACTCTGGTGCGCAACCATGTCAGAAAAAGCACCCAAGTATTTTTTGACTGTGATTTCCAGCCACCTGGTTGTGATGATGGTGACTCTGAAGGCTGCAACACCTCAGGCGCGGGCTTCTCCTTATTTGTACTTTCCACATCGTCTTCGTCGAGCCCATTTCGCCAATGTCTTTCTTTCTGCCGATTCTGCTTCCTCTCAGCCTTCAATTGCTGGGCCTCGAACCTCCATGTCTTAGCTGCCTCCTTCTCTTCAAAGGCTTGACGTGCTGCTTGTACTGTAGCTGCTCGAGCGATGGGATCCATACTGCTCCGGGTTTTAGAACGAAAGACGAAGTCTAATGATGATCTCGACACTGGTGACGTTGTATCTAACGTGCTACCATTTTCTCGCGAGTAACCGAATGACGTACGGCCGGAGATGTTAGTCTGGGAAACTGCGGGTGACCTCGTAAATGAACCGTCATGGATATGTAACGATAATCGCACACCTTGCTTGGAAGAGCTATGCACTGACGAATGAGAGCATTCAAGCCCAGGCTGCGTGAGGAGATCGCCGTCCGTAAATTCTTCGCCAAGAGAGTCACTGCTTCCAGGTATAGACGATTGGGAAGACTGGTTGAGTGGCGATGTATGGACACGAGAAACGAGGCGCACAGGATCATGAGGTATTGATCTTGGGTCACTGGCGCTTGCAACGCCAGACATTGCCGTTTGAGAAGAGACATGCATAGGCTGTCTGCGGGACGCGGAAATATTTCTTTTGGGACTTCCGCGAGTATGGATCCCCAAACCCTCATGTTCCATATTCGCTCGGGTTATATCAGATGCTGTGGGAAAGCTATCATGAGACACCTTCTTAAGGAGCGGCATTCCAGGCATCTCTGCTTTCATCGCGCAACCAAGTACGAATACCGATCTTATCAGAAGTCGTGCTCAAACCGGAAACAAGCCATCCAGGCAAAGTCAAGTTCCCTTCAAATTTTTATTGACTTGTTTCAAACGCGTACACGTGCTTTCAAGTTTGAAAAATTCACGCAATCAATGGTGGCAGGAGATGCTGAAAGTTGCACGAATTGCTTTGCTATCATTGCGATGCGGTGCCCACCTCACCTCCGGTTCCTGCAGCCAACGACGGGACGTTGTTCGCAGACTCGGCCCACCGCCGTTTAATCGAAAGCGTATAATATTGTACGAATAACTTTGAAAGACTTCCACGTAAACGGGACGCGCGGCGGTTCCCTCTCATGTCACCACGTCCTAATGTCCTTCTCAATATCTCCGAACCACGGACACAACGGGGAAAGGGTTCAATAAATTCTGATCAGAGACATTGTCGATTGGATATATGTTTTCAGAAGGCAAAGACCGGCAAGCCGACGTCCGAGACACTGTCTCACGACAGAAAGAGCCAACGGTGGATATGAGTTAACGTGGTAAGATTGGATCTAGTGAACGGATAAGAGAGCAGAAGCGCAAAATATCGAAGGAAAGACAGATGTCCCCCTCAACCAGTTGAAGGTGTCAACGACGATCACGAAAGTAGATAGGAGCCGTTGGGTTTAGATAGCAAAAACGTAGCGTGACGACAATCTGAATAGTTGCCGGTCATCAAATGGCAAACATAACCTTCCGGTGAAAAATAATGGAGAAGGGCCGTTGGAGGGCACGGCGGAGAAGATTGGAGGTGATAAAGAGGCCAAGGGCTGAAGAAAGATACAGAGAGGGAGAGGGAGAGGGGGAGAGAGGAGGAAAATGGGGAAGCCCGGAAGACGGCGGTGAAAGAGCGGCGGAGGGACGGATGCGGAGGTACAAACTACTGACTAGCTCTCTTTCGTAGTTACTCGTAGTATGCATTAGTCCTAAGTACTAGGTAACATACCAATACCTAACAATACCGCCTACCATTTTGATCTCGCATAAAGCAGGGCAATTCTTGAAGATTCTTTCAAATCACGCAAGTGTTGCTTGAATCAGGCTAGAAACAACATTACATTGAAAGCGGCTGAAGGGACACAATGTTCCCATAGCACCTTACAAACAGCCTCTCGTTCAGGGCATGTTGTTGGGGACCTTCCTTGACCTAGAATGGGCTGATTGGATCCACAGTTTGATAGTCAACCACATGCCTAGTTGCTTTCAGAGTGACCCCAGCAGTGGTTCGGGCCCGAGTCTTAGACTACAGGTGCAGGTTTTCCTCTACAATTTAGCAAGCCTGCCCAACGGAGCGTAACATCAGATGCGGATCTCTTGACTGAGTAGACCACTCGACAACAAAAGACTGGGCTCCCTGGCACCGGATTCAGGAACACTAGCTCGATAATAAAAGAGTACAGACACATGAGTCATAATATGGCCCATGCCAGCTCAATGTCAAGAAAGTATATGCTGCAGGAGAAGCCATTACATGACCAAGCATACGCCGCGACTTCATTGGCGACCCTATGACAGGAAAGAATGGAGCAATATGGCGGTGCAAGATGAATAGACCAGTGCCCACCTGAAGGTCATAGAAGGTCGATAGGAAGGATCATGAGTGTACCTACATGTCAAGACTTCATCTTCCTCAGGTCGCGGTGGGGACATGGGGGCTAAGGATGCTGAGGCAAATGCCTTTGACTCAAGACAACCCTCCGATCCTTCAAGTCACATATGACGATACCTAGTTTCAGGATCAATTTCTTCACCAGGTAGAAAAGCATCCTTCTCGTCACCAGTTCTTGATCTCTCCGCCTGTCGGCGGCTCCACTCGAACCACCTTATCGGAGTTAAGCAGGCAAAGAGGGTCGAAGGCAAATTTCAGCTGCAAATCTAAGTCAATTGTATGTCGGCATATACTTGTTGGATAAGAGCCACGTACCCGACGCATTGCGTCCACGGTGGATTCTCCTAGTTCATGCTCGAGATAATCCCGCTTGACGAGACCCACGCCATGTTCTCCTGTCACTGTACCTTCCAGCTGCACAGCTCGTTTCACCATGCGGTGAACCACAGCCTCCGCCGTTCTTTTCTCATCATCATTGAAAAGGATGATCGCTGTAAGTGTCATTTAGGAGCTTCCAGTAGCATCCGAGAGAATCAACTTACCATGAAAATTGCCATCTCCAACGTGGCCACATATACCAGCCAGGAGGCCACTGTCAGTCATATCCTGTTTCGTAGCCTCAATGATTTCGGGCAGTTTGCTCATAGGCACTGCCACATCCGTCGTCCAAACATGGTCTTCTGGGCTTCTACGCATAGCCATGACACTCCACAAAGCCTGCTTGCGGGCGCTCCATAGCTCCTGCATTTCCGCATCACCGCGAGCAAACTCAAAGGATTTTCCTGCTGTGGATAAGACAATCTTTTGCACGAGACCTATCTGTTCTTTGACGCCCAGGGGTGTTCCTGCGAATTTAAAGAAGAGCGTAGGCGACTCCTTCCACTGTCGGCTGGTCGTCTGACTGGAATTAATGCATTTCATCTGGACGTCATCCAAGATTTCCAGTCCGGCCACGGGAATGCCTTCTTCTACTACACGAGTGACACATTCCGCTGCATCTTGTATTGTAGGAAAGCTTGCCACGGCGACATTTTGACTTTTAGGCTTAACCGTCAATTTGAGCGTTGCTTCCGTCACAAGCCCAAGGGTGCCTTCGCTGCCAATGAAGAGCCGAGTAAGATCATACCCAGCGCTTGACTTCCGCGGACGTTGCCTCGTTTTGATTATTGTTCCATCGGCAAGGACGACGGTCAAGGAAAGTACCCACTCGCGCATGGTCCCATACCTATAAGCATTCGTTCCCGAACAGCCTGTACCGACCATGCCGCCGATCATAGCACCAGGGCCGGGGTCCGGTGGGAAAAACAAGCCATCCTCGGACAACTTCTCATTTAGTTCTTCCCAACCGATGGCAGGCTGAACCACAACGTCCAAGTCCCGTTTGTGGAGATCTAGAATACTGTTCATGCGACGAAAATCAATGCACACGCCGCCTCTTGTGGGTGTAAAATGCCCTTCCAGGCTCGTCCCGCCACAGTACGGCGTGACAGGAATTAGACGCCGATGACACACTATCATGATCTGGGATACCTCAGCCGTAGTCGAAGGATAGAGGACAAGGAACGGCTTTTCATCATCCTTCCGAGCATACGAAGACCAGTCAGACCCGGAATGCACCTCCAAATCGCCATGTTCCGTAGAGACGTTCTCCTTTCCTAAGATATCAACAAAGTCTGCCCATGCAGCCTGGAGATTTGAGGGGGAGATGTTGTGTTTCGGTGGCTCTGCTTCAAATAAAGGCGTCGTCGATGACGTAGGGAGGCTCGCAGGTTTCAAGGAGCCTAAGAAATACGCTCCACTCGAAAAGAAGGTCAACGCTAGATATGCGGCATCAGACACATTTATCATAAAACAGAGCTCGAAGGAATTGTCACGAGAACAATTAACCGCATACCAAACATTACAGCTGCATAGCGACCGCCCTGGGACTGAGTCTGATACTGTGAGTAACGCTCTTGCTCAGCGCGCTCCCGCTTTAGACGCTGCTGTGTGCTTTCATACAATTGATGTTTGAAAGATTGAGACTTTTCTTCAGCGGTATATCGAGTGGCTTTGCTGAATGCCCGGCGCTGGAGCTCAATCGATGCAAGTTTGGTGCAGCGAGCGCCCGCCCTTGGTTGTAGGGTGCATATGGTGCCCCTTGAGGCACGAAAGACGTAAGACCTCATCATAGCGAGTGTCGAGTCCTGTGTCAGAAGAGTGAGAGCAATTCTTGTTTTCAAGGTCTCGACATCCTATTGTTGAAACCCGTGTCCAAGTACCTAGACTCTTTGGGTATGTAGGAAATTGACCTTGTTCCGTTAGTTAACCAAATGAGCTACAACAGGTATGACTAAGCTAGGAACCCACAGCATGCTACCATCTATATTTTCTTTTTACAGTAGTTATTATTCAGAGACTAACATCTCAGCTGACTTTAAATTTTAATTCTTATCATTATATATGTTTTCTCGGTATCTATGCTTATCTCTATTCTAGGTATTCTACCATGCAAGTAACACTTCACATGCCAGCAACAGGCTGGGTCATAACTACTCCAATCGTACGGAAGACTACGGAGCACAGCAACAGTGATACATTCTGTACATGTGAACTATATTTCTAACCAAGACTACCTTTCTTGACATGGGCAGGTTAATCCGATGGCCAAGTTCGCAGAAATTATCAGATATTGTCTGTGATGTAGTAGTTTATGTAAGTAGGATGAGCCATCCACTGGTATCATCAAGTTATCACTACTCCATATATATGTATGTAATGAATGAATTCCCGGCTAAATAGGTACTGTCCCGGACAACTGACTCCCGAGTGGGCATCACAGACTCGGATGCTGAGTCTAGACATGGTCCTCGCCCTAGATACCCAGGTAGGTAGCAGAAGAATGAAGTGACTTGAAGCAGAGGGCTGGAATTGCGGCGCCGGTTAATTGCCCAGTCCACCAATAGGTATTCAACCGGGTTTCTTCCCGACTCACCATACCCCGCCATCCCGCCATCATACTGCCGCCTCACCTAGAGCTCACCTGAGGTTTCTAATACAAGTACCTACCTGCGTTACTGGACCCAGGTACTGGTATGAATTTAATTGAAGTAATAATTACTTTAATAGAGGATACCGGTAATCCACTCAGTTTCTGCTTGGTTAGACCCGTGTTGTTTAGTCGAAGCAAAGGGGGTCAATAATCAGAATTAAATCATCATTTGCTAACAACCATTCTCCCGCCCCCCACTTATGTAGTACGTACTAAGGTAGCTAGCTACCACAGCCATCCTTACTCGGTTGAAAGGCAGCCACTATGTATTTAAGTCGCTTCTGTGTTCGTCCTTTCGCTGTCCCCATGACCACGGCTTGTCCCTCAGCTTTCCTCTCCCTCCCTTATCAACATAGTTTGGACTCTCTTTCAGCGTGTACCCCTGCCAATTCTTGCTTTCTTCCATCGCATCATTCGAATAGCCAGTGTTCTCGCTCTGTTTGACCCAGTGCCAAATCATTGACTGAATATTTGCCAGCTATGTCTGCCCTGAGTGCTGCTGCCCAGGTAAGCTAAGAATGTTGGGTCCTGATCATACACCTGCATGACAGGCCGAAAGCTGGCAAGTGCTGATACAAGAAATCCAATATTCTTAGAACATCTCATTTGTCCTGGAAGGTATTCATCGAGTCAAGTTCGAAGATCGGCCTGTGCCAGAATTGAAAGGGCCCCATGATGTTCTTGTGAATGTCAAGTTCACAGGCATATGCGGGAGCGATGTACGGTTTGTCGACAGCACTGGGAATGACGAGTTGAGCTTCCAACTAACGCATGAGAACTGCCTAGGTACACTACTGGGAACATGGTTCCATTGGTCAGTTCGTTGTCAAGGAGCCTATGGTGTTGGGGCATGAGTCGTCAGGAGTGATCAGCCAGATCGGTTCAGAGGTCACCGGGTTGAAAGTGGGCGATCGAGTTGCGCTTGAACCCGGCGTGCCTTGCCGTCGGTGTGAACCGTGCAAGTCCGGGAAATATAACCTGTGTGAGGAGATGGCTTTTGCTGCAACTCCTCCTTACGACGGAACTCTCGCCAAATACTATGTTTTGCCCGAGGACTTTTGCTACAAGGTTCCAGACACTGTGACCCTGCAGGAGGCTGCACTCATGGAGCCCCTCAGTGTTGCGGTGCATATTGTCAAGCAGGCCAGTGTCCAACCCGGCCAATCAGTGGTTGTTTTCGGAGCTGGACCAGTGGGACTTCTATGCTGCGCTGTAGCGAAGGCGTATGGTGCGTCTAAAGTTATTGCCGTGGATATCCAAAAGCCAAGACTCGACTTTGCCAGAAGCTATGCAGCAACTGCAACATATGAGCCGTTCAAAGCTAGTCCATTGGATAACGCAAAACGAATCATCGAGCAGAATGACCTGGGCACGGGCGCGGATGTGGCAATCGATGCGTCTGGGGCAGAGCCATCCGTGCACACTGGAATACATGTTGTCCGCGCTGGCGGTACGTATGTACAAGGCGGTATGGGAAGGAGTGAGATCACTTTTCCCATCATGGCTGCATGCACCAAGGAATTGAATGTGAAAGGCAGTTTTCGTTACGGCAGTGGCGATTATAAGCTTGCAGTTTCTCTCGTTGCTTCAGGCAAAGTGAACGTCAAGGATCTGATTACTGGCACTGTCAAATTTGAAGATGCCGAAAAAGCATTCGAAGAGGTCAAAGCTGGAAAGGGTATCAAGACACTTATCTCCGGCATAGACTCATGAGTCTTACATACCTAGCTAGATGAATTGGGAACGTCAATATTTTCAACGTGCTGGTCTCCTAATTTGACCAGAAGATTTTCTCTGGCTGGTCCCAGAAATATAAACCCGCTTTGAGCTACGAAGTCATCATATGATTGAGGTAAAGAGAAAAGGATAGTGGTCACGAAGATGTGCTTGCTGAATAGACGATCAATCCAGCAATCCATGTAAGGCTCATAGATAAAGCAAGATCTAAAGCCAATGAATTGCAAGCACACTCGACTATAACGTCAAGCAATCTATGAGGGATTGTCAAGAAACTTTATTGGGGTATCTTGCAGATCGAATAAGTATAGGAACATTTCTCGCAACAGAGTTTTCATTTGAAAGGTGAAGAGAGATACAAGCCAGTCAGCTGTAAGATTTGATAGATCTCCGAAGGATGTGCGGTGGCTGAGCCGTGTGATCTGCCTTCGATCCAGTCAATCATTTAAGAACATCAGCCTCGGGTAATACTGTATTCATCTCCGGGTTGGACAGCAGCAGCGGCGTATACGGAAGTCATATCGAGTCAACAACATCTACCACCTTTCCTTCGGTGAACGTCGCTTAAACGGAACACATCTTCCCACTCTCCTAAGCCACGTCTTCGGCTATTCTCGGCTCCAGCTCTGTTATATCGACGACGCAGTTGGACGGAGCCGTCATCAAGAGTCGTTCGACTCCGAATACTAGATCCATCACTTGCACTGGGACCATAAAGACCACCATCTCCATATTGGATCCCGCTTTGTGGATCATCAGGATCTATTTCTCCTAGCTCAATCTTCGTGAGGATTATCCGGGCCAGCCGGTTGAACAATTCTTCCACACCATCGCCAGTTAGAGCCGAAATCTCGACGGCTACTGGAATGCCGGATTTGGCGGCCCAGCGTGACATACTTTCGGTGCTGACTTCACGGCCATGGAGTGTATTCGTCGCTGTCATCCTTGTTCCTGCTTCATAATTCACCGTGGAGCGAACAGACCCGCCGGCGGGGTCCATAGGGAAGGAAGAATGCTTGCTGGACGTGCTAGACGGCGTAGGAGGCGGCCGGAAAATATCGTCAAAGCTATCGTTATGTTGCATTGCATCCGAAGTGAGATCTGCCTTATTCCCTGCGAGCAGGACAGTGAGGTTGGGGGAAGCAAGAGCCCGAGCGTCCATGAGGAATGTCGGAAGGGACGTGAATGAAGCCTGTGAGGATACATCGTAAATGAGGATTGCTCCTGCAGCCCCTCGGTAATAGGACCTAGAGACAGATCGGAACCTCTCTGTCCCAGCAGTGTCCCAGAGTTGGAATTTGATCCTTGTTCGTCGGGACCCGGTGCCTAATTTGACTATCCGTGAGGAGAATTCCACCCCAATTGTTTGCGACGACAGCACTCTCCCTACACGCACACGGGCTGTTAGCGAGCCATGCTATCAATTTGGGATGAATTTATACATAGGCTAAGTCAGATTTGAAACCCTACATTCATTCTTCACGAAGCGGTGTAGCACACAGGACCTGTGATTGCCGTGGATAAGTGAGCGCTTGAATAGGCACCAAGATCCATCTGGTCTTACTTTCCAGCCCCGCTTGGCCCAAGAAGAATCACCTTGGCCAGATAATCATACATGCTCTCCAATTCCTAGACATATAGAAGACGAGCGACCGGTCAGTTCCAGTGGAGATATGAGCAGCTTCTGGTGCAACAAATGCATCGATTTGGGCTGGGACTGGAAGAGGCCATGTGTCATTTGAGGGACGTCATAAGGAGATTACATACCTGGGTTCTCTCAGCCTGGAAAGAAGTGGCTGAGGAAGTGTTCGAGAAGCTCCTTTGACGCACCATGGCGCCAAACAAGAGCCATCCAAAGCGTGGCTTGGATGATCGTAGTGATGGGCGGAAGAAAGGTTACGAGACAAGTCAAAATAATTAGGTACTGAGGATGATAAAGTACGGAGTACTGTACTGTCAAGTGTACCCCCCTGCGTGCGGCCCACGGGTTCCGCACTAGAGCAACTACTAAGTACAGCTGCGATTGCCGCAATAAGACAATCCCACACATTAGGTCCACGGTTGGTTCGCCTATTACCATATTAGTGCATAATGGGATTTTGGAGGTCCTGGGACCGAGAAGTCGCTCTACTTCCTCATTAAGAACATAACCAGACTACCTTTGAATGTTATATGAAAGCTTGAGAAAATCTATAACAGCATGCCACCCACTGACCGCAACTGGTCTAACGCTACTGTGGTGCAATCATGCAGAACAGAAAGGGCGTGACCAATATTGTCAACCTATATTCAATGGCGTCTTTCGCGCATATGGACCATCGTACTCCATTCTTGACAGCATGATCGATTCATCTTGTGTCCGCACCAGCAGCTATGGCATGAATGAGCTGGAATCCTGTCGGATGCCCCAGGAGGACATAGGAGGCTAGTAGGGTGCTTCGATAGCTCACTTCTAAGCACAACGGAATCACTTTTCTCTTCGTTGGTCACTTCTGCTCTTTTCTTTATCAGGCTTTCGTCATCTATTGTAGTGGAATCGACCTTGCCACGAGGGAACCTCGAGTATATCTGTGAAGGCCAATCATGCCAGTGCCCACAAATGCAGCAAATAACAAACACCTTGGGAACATGCTGACCTGGTAAATGTATGAGTGGATCGCCGGTGTGCTTAACCTGCCCTGGCAGGGAATCAGATATCGTGGCTGGAGTTTGCTCCCGCGCTGGTGGGAGACTAGCACCCAACTCAAGCATCAAATTCTCAAATCCAAGACTTTTCGAATGCATTGTCGCGATCTCATTATCATCCCTTGAGTGTGATGCAATCGATAAGCCCTCGTCCGCCGTATTGTAATCATCTGTCAAAACCTCATGTGAGGAATCGTCCAATGACGGCAACGAGCAACCCAGTGGCAGTGGCTTCTCGGCAGGGTATGCCTGAGAGGCTTTAGGAATCAGCGCCTCGCTGGCCCGCTTGCATCTTGTGACACTTGTTTCGTTTTCGAAGTATATATTTAGGCTCGGTGCGGATTTGAGTTGACGCTGGCCAGCGCTAGCGCTGTGGCCAAATGAAGCCTGAGAGTGAAGGTTCGTTACCTCATTACGCGATTTCCCGGAATCAATCAAAATCGTCATCGGCAAATCATTCTTCCCATCCTGAGAATGATCGCTTGAAGTGTGCTGAAAACGTTTGCTTGGCCATGTTAAGCGATCGCCGACACGCTCCTTATGTACAGGTCTGTGGAGGTCCACCTTTTCGTTTGATGCGCTAGAGCCATTGTAAACACTGGATGGCGGTCGCAATATGCTTGGCCTGGAAAGTGCAGGATCTTCCGTGCTTCTTTGTTTCACTTTCTGAAGGAAGGCTCGAGTGGAAGATTCAGACAAGGTAGGCTTGATTGAAATTGACTCGCTCGCAACGTCGCTCACCGAGGCCACCGCCAGAGGTGATGACTTATACTTTCTATATTGTCTCTGAACATGTCTGTTATTTGGAGGCCCTCCAGGGATGGCTCTCCAGGGCTCTTGCGTTGAAGCCATTGGGACATGAGGGTGGGGCTTTGCGGAAAGACATTCCATTTCACATGGCTGGTTGTTCCTCCGGTCCAGGCTCGGGTTTAGGCTGTCTTTGCTATCTTTCAATGCGGATCTGAGAAAGGGCATGATGGACGAGTAGCGCTTGGTGGCTTGAACGACCTCAGAGCGCCTTGCCTCGATATTCAGGGTCGCTGAAAACGAGGTACGGTCCAAGTCCCCAGCTCCATCCAAGGCTTCTTGGGCTTTGTGCCCCAAGGATTCTGGTGTGGAGGTATAGCCTTTTGTTCTATATGTCATTGGCCCATGGCTTATACCATGAAACGCACACCCATCTTGGAGCTGCGGTGATCTGCTGGCCTCATTCGTGTCAGATGCTGCAGCTACTTGAGTGGGCTTCTGCAGAGGCTTCTCCTTGTGATATGAAAGTAGTGCATTTGATGCAGTAAGGTCTTCAGATATAGCGGTGCTAAATCTCTCTGGTATTTTCAATGCAACCTGAGGTATCCCTGACGCTGGGTTCGAGTTGAGATTCGACCTTGACCCTGGGTCAGCTGGCTGCCCCTGCGGTCCTCGGTCGGCTTCGTGCACCGAGCTCGGTCGAGATCGCGATGATGAGCGCCTTGATATGGAGAACATAGAGGAAAGTCTAGTAGAAGATCGAGAGCCATCTTCCGCACTTGCGCTCGATGCCCTGCTCGACCTGTCTAACGGCTGCTTTTTTGAGAGACGACGGGTCTCCCTTTTCAGGAGCCGGGAGCTTCTACTCCCCTCAGCTTGTTCGAGCCTGAGAAGCCGTTTTTCGAGTTCTGCCCTGTCCGCTTCCAGACGCTTCGTGGCCCGTCTCTCTTTCTCCCTGGGAGCGTCGTTATGTCTACTAGCCGTGTTCTTGTCATGTGTTTCTGGAGCATTTTCCGGACGAAAAGCGTGTGTCTTTTGGTATGGGCGCCCATTGAGCAGCGGTGCTGATAGTCTCTTAGCCCCGGCCTCTTCAGTTGACCGAATCAAATCGTTTCTTTCCTCTTTAATACTCATATAGGAATGCCCACTCCTGACCGACGAGCTCGAATGTGATCGCTGGGGGTTTGTTTGTTTCGACTCAAATCTCGTCGTTGTAGTAATAGCCTTCGAGCTCTGGCTTCGTTTATTCTGGGTTTGCTTTGAAGGACATCAGGCACATCTCCTTCAAAAAGTTGAACCGTGCTTTTTCACTATGACGGTCGTGCGCGAGATGCAAGAGGCCACAATACTCACATGTGCTCGCTTGTCGATATGGAGTGCCCGCTGAATTTGCTGGGTGATGGATAACCTGCGTGGCCTCCTGCTCGATACGCCACTCTGGCCTTGTTCCATCTTTGTGACACGATCTTCGTTCAGGCTGACTATTGCACAATGTTTACTGGCAGAGCAACAGCGCGGACTGTGTCAGTCATAGATATAGGGAATTGCTGTATATCGTAGAGGGACCGGATAAGATTTCTCGTACTGATGGCGGAGGCGCCCGGGGAGTTAAAACGAGTGGTGAAGAAGGCAATAAGCACGAGGTAACGGGGAGACCGGGGGCTGAACAAGTAGGGACTGCAGCAGCGGTTTTAGCCGCCTTACCAGCTGCAGGCCAGCAGACAATCGCACGCGAAGCCCAGATGCCACGAACATCAGCAAGAAGGAAGGGTGGGTCAACTGCAAGGGTCCAGTGCCACGCCGGTCAAGGTTCGAATCAACGCTCTGTCGATGACCGAGCTCTTCTGCCTCTTCTGCTTCTTTCGCTCCGTCCAGCTCCCCTCATTACTTAGGCAAATACCATGGGAATCTGCCCGCGTGGCATGGTATCTAGCGGTGGGGTTCGGATGTCCTAGGTGCCGGGATACAGGAAGAATAACCTGCTGGCTCGTTGGGCATTGATGCATGCAAGTTCAAGATAGTAGTATTTTTAGATTGGTGCAAGGCACCGGAGATGCAACCGATTGTTGTAGGTGCATAAAGGGCCATAATAAATAATTGTAGGTAGAACCAATTGCCAACCTCTGCAAGGAACACATGCAGCGATGAAAAGAATGTAAAGTAATCAACCTTATGGGAAGGCTGTTTGTTGTCTTCATATTGATGAACGGAATATCTACCATCTTATCAGAGACCAAGATTACGAGTACCAGTGCTTACGACCCCTCACCTGACCTCTGTGGTGGGGCCGCTTTGACCTAATAAAGCCCCGTCGAGATCCACGGTGGACGAAGCCTTCCTGATCACCTACAGTACTTGCGGGGTCAATTTCTGTCTACTCGGCAAGACAAGTGATTATCACTAGGTAGTGTGCTGGACACTGATCACTTCTTCAATCATTCTGTGTGATCCGTTCTTCCTTTGCCTTATTTTCTTGTGGAGAGATGGGTAAGATATTAGTTGACGAGAGTCGAAGTTCAGTAGCCTCGGCTCGGAACTCGAGGGCCGCCTCCAGTACCCAGACGATATCACGAGCTCGAAACATGCCCCCGGATTCTCCACCCGACTATGCATACGCTATCGCTTCATCAGCAAATAGGCCCTTAGAGGCTCCTCCTTCCTATCAACATTGGCAAGAATGTACTCTTGAAGAAGAGAGCTTGCCTCCGCCGCCGGCAGCAGGCTTCCTTTACTCGTCTACAGGCAATGCGTCCTCCGATGATGCCTTGCGTGCGCACGAGTTCTGTGATACATTTCCATTACAGCCCCCAGAAGAGCCATCTGCCGCTGTCTACAGAATTGTGGAGCGAAACGACTTGAGTCCGGTCCAACCTCCAGAATTCCACGGCAACTTACATATTGCTCAACGGGGTCACTGGACGGGCTTTACACGTTTCGGAAGCCGCGATTGCCTACTAACGACCAATCTACCTCTTTATTTCTCTTTGGTGGACTCTCCTCGCCACACCAACAAGGCCAAACTAATATACTTCGAAGTCAAGTTATTAGGCCTTGGTGGAAGGTTCAACAGTAGGTCGATTGAAACTAGCGGCTTTTCCATTGGTTATGTGGCTAAGCCGTATCCATCATGGAGGTCGCCCGGCTGGGAACGAGGGAGTCTCGGTGTCTTTTCTGACGACGGGTGTCGTTTTGTCAATGATTCCTGGGGTGGTAAAAGTTTCACAAGTGAATTCCGCGAAGGAGAAACGGTGGGCCTAGGAATGGCGTTTCGTCAGTCGTGTGAAAGAAGTAGGGTTGATGTGACCGTTTTCTTCACTCGTGATGGACAACAGGTGGGGACTTGGGATCTTGCCGAGGAAAGAGATGCGGAATCTGGGGGAACCGAAGGATTAGAAGGCGACTTCGATCTCTACGGGGCTATAGGGCTTTTTGGAATGGTTGAATTTGATGTGCAATTCAATCCAGCACATTGGCTTTGGACCCCGCAAGAAAATATTTGACGTACCCATCATGCCCATGCGTATCGCAATTCATCTATTTGTATTACTCACATTCGGCCGAATTGAACCTTGCCGAGGGTTAGTAAAGCGTTGGGACATTATATCTACAAGGTAGATAGCAAACTCCTGTTCTCGCTGGATAGGGATCGAATGACGTTCAAGTACCAGCCTGAGGCCGAGAAAATCGTCTGCAGAGCAAGCATATAGTCTTGCATTTCCGCGCATTGCTAAACATGCGCACGAGTAGGCAACTAGACAAGTATCAGTCGTACATCATTGGACTCTTGCCGAACCAATATCAGGAGGGAATCTCCTAAAAGGCTACGCCGGCAGAATAGTCCGATGGCGGAGAGCGGGAAAATGAACAGAATAGGTTTCTGGTATCGGCGCAATGATGGTGACCGAAGCCTTCTAGAAAGATACCTGCAAGACTTGCCGGTATTCCCCTGCTAATGCACATACATGGGTGTACGGGGGGAATTCAGCCTGCAGTTCCGCTTATGCCGTCAACGGACGTAAACGAAGACAGGGGGGAGGGAAGGAGGGGAAAGGAGGGAATCAAAGCCAGACCTGTTCTCCGGCACAGTATACAAAGAATTGACGTCGCACTATGTTCAAGTCCTATCGTACTGGTAGAGATCATGGAAAATTGGGAAACCGGCCATCTCCCGCATACCTTTATGAATAGTAGCAGACAGGGAGCATCCCAGGATTAGATGAGTACACCGGATGATTTTTACGGCGCTGCTTGTCTAATGGTGGTGATGAGGATCAGCAAGGTACCAGTATCGTCAGCCTCACTCTGAGAATATAGTAGACGTGGCGGAGATTTACAGTTGAGACCCGAAGAAGCCGGATCTACGGTACGTCTAACACCAAGGGCAAAAAAAAAAAAAGAAAGAGAGAAGAAAAGAACAAACCATACACCTGATACATCAAGCGTAAGTGATCATGGGCTGTAGCTGTCAACTCGCAGAGAGATTTGTTGAGCCCGCGGATGCAATTAGCCGATGCAGCTCAACAACTTTAGTAACGCCTGGACGACTCAGCTTACTCGTGTTATAGCTCGAACCAGGTTGATTATTGTTGTGACATACGCTACAGTTAGTATTGAAATGGGCTACCAAGCTTGCTGGTCAATACAGGCAGAGAACTGGACATTTGAACTCTTAAACAACCCCACCGGGCACAGCCACTTGAAGGAGCATTACTAGAATTCTAAATAGGTTTTCATATGATCCCTGCGGACTACCGAAATTGTATCTGGAAGCTTCAGTATAGTCTAATACACGTTTGACTCCGGACACCGTCCGGTAATTCTGATCAGACTCATATCAAGCTAACAGCACTGATTGAATTTTTACAGCTTTGACCAAGTGGATTGCATGAAAAACGACTTGACGAGGACGCAGGAGGGACAAGAACAAAATTGCGGGTACTTGGGAGTGGATTCAGTCTCCGACAACGAAAGAAGCGAGTATTGACGATTAGTGCAGTAGCTGGTGCTGCTAACCTTAGTTGAACTTAAAGCCTGGAGCGCCTCTTCGTGTGGGAAAACAAGTGGCCTGGCCAAGCTTCAGGGTGACCCGCAGTCCCAACCTCCCACACCAAGAGACTCCAGCGGAAGCAGTTTGCCCAACTCCTCGATTCCAGCCTATGATATTCCGCTGATGTGCCACAAAGCGCCGCCTGCCTACTTTAATCTTGTCCTAGTGAGGATAGGACAGAGTGTACGGAGTACAATGTAAAGCCTACAGGGTCGGCATTTCACATCATCTCTCACAGCGCAGAGAAATGTGCCTACCTGATTCATGTAGTGTTATGCATGTATGCCCCCTTCGAGTTCTGGGGGTGGTGTGTGTCGTCGGTATTCGAAATTTAGCCACCGGGGGGGATTCAATTATTTAAGCCTGCAATCCTCGGCTGTTAGTTCTTCTTCCCCCCAGTCTTCTTCTTCTCTGCTGTCAACCATCACTACTCAAGCTCAGCCTGGACCAGCAACAATGACCAGTCAATCTTCCCTCGCTCATCTCTGCCAAATCTGTAACTTGCGAGTGGCAGCTCTGAGCCTTCGAAGTGATCTACCAGCCGCTGAACGAGCGAATCACAAGGCTTGCACTGCAGTGTGCATTTCTCTCTGCTTGAGTACTCATAAATCCTGTGGGAACGGACGGGGTCGGTTGCAGCGGAGAATTGCCCCATAGTATGTGCGGACCCAATCTACATGGAAGAGGTTCCCACCAGTAAGTACTAGGCTGCGCTAAAATGTGCACAGTCCGCTTCCACCACAAAAATATTACTACCGACGGAGTCAGCCTAAAGACCGACCGTAGGAGTTCCGAATGAATTGTTCTGTAAGACGGTGCCGTATTTACTCCCGTCATGGTTGAGGCCTAGAAAGCTAGTCCCGGCCATTTATTAGGACGCCACGGCCGAGAGAGTCATAGGCGCAAAAGCAGAAAACAACAAACGGCGAATGGCTATGCAGCGCCGCCCCAGAACTTCAGCGTACAGTCCGCTGTATGGTGCTCCGACCTTTTCTCATTCTTTGGCAGAGTTGCGTGATGTAAATTCACGCGTCTCCTCAACCATATACAGTATAAATCCCGGAGAGCCGAGGTGGGTGATGACTTCTGAACACGTTCGGCGTACTGATCGACCGCATAGGCTGCATGTCATCTCCCTTGATCGATAGGGAATGGTGTCTGCCATAGCACCTTGATAAGCGCGACCTTGGTATGCGGGAGAAGATAGTGCCAGTTGTAAAGTGGCACTAAATCAGTCTAAACCTCTGAGGCAGGTCGCAGTGGGCTGGTGGATATAATCTCCAAGTTGGCTCTTCTAAAAGACAGACTCTTAAAGGCAGAGGAGTATCCACTGGATAATGGGCATTCAAGATGGCGTGTCTACAACTTCGTATTAACGACAAACACACTAGTTATCTAGTACTTTGAGGGGGGAAGAGGGGAAGGGCGGCGTTTTTGAGCGAGGCATAATGGTATGATATTTAACAATCTCCTTCCCCAACCAAGAAGTCATTATAGAGTGACGGGAGTACGTACTGGCATTCCAAATACTCTTTCATTTGTAGAATCTACTTCCATATCGATTGGGCAATGGAGAGAGACGCGTGATGGGACTTGATCGGTGGTAGTACAGCAACACAAAAGCGATTGTTTTACTCAACGACCAGTCTCACTGTGTTTGTTTGGGACCTGCCCTAGGGAGGATATAGTACGTACAAGCAGCAATTGCTCCGGGCGTGCTTGTATGGAATTTCCCTCGGTCATTTCCGGGTACAGGTGGAGAGGGCGGCGGAGTCTAATGATAACAGTAATGTCCGTGCAGCCGGAAAACATACGCGTCTGTTTCACTCGCCTACGAGCCCAACCGTGCCACTGTTCGCAGGTCATACATCAGCATGCGCTCTCACCTTGAGATTTTGGTAGTAAGCCGCAGAAGATTCAGGGCGAGACCTCAAGTAGAGCGCCAATCATCCATTGAGGTGAGCAGATTTTAGTTAATCATGAGTGGGATTCAAGGTTACTAAGGGTGGAAAGAGATTCAGTCGCATGAAACTAATTTGCACCCCCTCCCCCAATAGTTGGTTCTAGAGATACCGCCTTCTTGAAGCGCCCACACACCGCCTAGAATATATGGGAAGAAGCTGACAGAATAACCATAGGCTAGACTTGAGGGAAAGTGCCAAACTCCTTCCGAAGGGGGATGCATACTAACTAATTTCCTACCACTGTAACTACGCATAGCACAACAAATCGGCAGTCTAACCCGCACGGACATTCTGGTTATAGCGTCCGGAGGTTCGTGTAATCATCCGAACCGCATATGCTACCGAGCTATATACGAAGCCCATACCCAGTATTATACGAGGCTTCGTGGCTTTACATAAGCTGTTGGCTCAAACACCCACTTCCATGAAAGGCCTGGTCGGATCGGGCAGTTCTTGGAGTTCGTCAAGACGCTGGAGGAGACCATGAAAGTGAATGCAAATTCTCTCCCAATTCGGTGAATGGCTGCTCAACTATGGTACACAATCTTGTCATTTAGTCACCGGTGGTAGATTTTCAGGTTAGCTTGAAGTTGAGTATGTGACACTACAGTATCTGCAAGACTGCAACAGCCCCCATCGAGACTTGAAGCACATAACCGTTTAAGGTGACTTGCAGGAGAATCCACTTTCACCTGCAGCCACTAGCAAGGCTGGTGGACTACACTTCACCTAGCACACTAGTAGAGGAATTTAGTGTAGGTGGTATCGTCTATGCAACTGCCATTCTGGGAGTGGTCAGGAAGAAAATCCCCCCTACTGGTAGATATCAGATATATTATTGCACGATCAAGAAGCCCACAGGTCTGTTGTGTGCTAAGACAGAATCTCTGGGATCCATAATGATGATGCGAGTCTATCCCTGAACCGGAGGTGGAGCTCGGGCCGCACGTTCATTGTGACTAGGAGCAAAGCAGGAGCAGGCGCCTTTGACGAAAGCGAGGAAAGCGGTCCCGGGGTGGATTGAACACCCCAATTCTTTCGCATATGTACTGTACAGCCGTGCTCTATAGATCAAGCTCTAGTTAAATTACACAGCTTGTCGAGGTCAAATTTTCCAGTACGATAGTATGTAAGCTGTAGAACGGCGTGTCGAAAAGCGGGCCTCAAGAGGTAGGACGCCCGCAGACTCCGGGTAGAGCATTTTGTCTTGGACCAATTTCCACAGAGGTCTCTTTAATCGCAGAAGTTGTTTAGCGGCGACATTTCATTGTCCCTAACCAATTCTAGACCTGTTTCCAGCCAAGGTTAGGATGATTTTCTCGTCTCCTTATGCCGCCACAAAGACTGGAGAAATCCGAAATACAGGGTATGAGCGTAAGTAATCATACCGGAGGATAAGAGGGTCTCAATACCTTACCAGCAGATGCATGCACGAGCCATCTGTCAGAAATTCGACTACAAATCCATGAACGCAGCAGCGATCGATTTTATGGGCAGGTGCTCC